AAAAGGTATTGATTGAATTATCGATTTTTTTTCCCACAAAGAATAGTTATTTACAAGGTAGTGCTTACTATCTGAAAAAAATCTGGAAAACCTGAAATTTTGAAATTTTTTAAAATGAAAATCATGAAATTTTTATGAAAATCAATATTCAAGGAAATCCTTGAAATTTTATTTTTATATTCTGTTTTTTTTTTTCTGAAAATATTGTTTTTTTTCCTTATAATGTAAAATGTCGACAATCGGTAATAATAATAATAATAATAATAATAATAATAATAATAATAATAATAATAATAGCTTTATTGAATGCTATGACTTATAATTAATTGAAAGCAACACGTATAGTATATGATAATAAACTAAAAGCACATGAAGGAATTAGAAAAATAACCTATTCCAGATGAGTTGAAAGTAGGGAGATCTGTCAGCCAATCAAGTTTTGAGTTTGCAAAAATTCACATGACTCGTTGACGCTGAAAATGAGCTTAATTTCTGATTGGAGATCCTCCGCTATTATGCGCAATGGATTACCTTTCTAATTGCATCAAATTAAAAGTATACAATAGACATGATTGCAACTGAGAATTGATTTGATACCTAATTTAATTTAATTTAAAGAAAGCGGATGTATTTACATATATTTACATATATTCTCTTGACATATATTTACATATATTCTCGCGAGTTTTTATTAAAAAAAAATCAGGATAATAATAGAAGATGATATAAAATAGAAATTCATTAATATTAATAATTGTAATGACCAATTTTTATACTATTCTATAAATGTCATGCCATTTATAGAATAATGCAATTGAGAGAAGATAAATGTAGAAAATATCTCGTTTACTTTAAATGTTTATCAAAATACATTCAATCGATACATTTTTATGTAAAAGTAAAGATTTAACAAGGAAAAAAATCTCGCTATATCTCGAAGCAAGATATTATTAATAACAGTTTGTTATTACTGAGATTATAAAATCTAATCATATTGATATGCATGTTGCGAACTATGCAGTGCGCATGTACTGTAGTCACATGTGCATGCAATGGCTAGCCATATGCGCATGCATTTTACATATATTAAATCTTTAAAAATGAATGAGCAGGGCTGGGTATGTATTTGAATTAATTTGAAATATTTTTATTTGACTCTGATTATGACTGTGATTTTCACGTGCTTCCTATACAGAGCAGCTTTTATGTATTATGTGGGCTTCCACAGTTAATACATGTCTTTAATCTTTTAATCTTTGGGCTGTTGGCATTGCGTTCTTCTTTTTCGAAGAGTGGTGAGCATCCGCGCAATTCAGACAAGCTTCTAGTTTCTCATAGAACTCATTAATCTATATAATCATCATTCTCTATATATTCACATTTGAAGCAGAGCCGAACAGTAACTACAATTTAACTAGGTTGATCGTTTTTTCGATGATAATGATATCTCGCCTTTTATCTTGCAGACTGCTCAAGAGTCTTCGATTTGGCCGGTTTTCCTGTTTCGATATTTTGATATTTAAGTATGAACAGATTCATGATTATAAGATTAGCTTTCTCTATCTCAATTGTTTCCTTCAGTTCTTCAAGAGGCATGTTTTCCGAATTGAATCTCTGATTATCGCTTTCCTACTGATTTTGAACTTGGAGACAAAAGTTACAATATCTGTTACTTACAGTATTATGTTAGACAAAGCATTGTTCATTAGTTTTTCAATTAAAGGTGTTCCAAGTATCTCTCGAATATTTGTATATTTAGCTAAACTTTATATTATAGGAACTGATCTCTTTTGAGATACTAATAAGAAGAAATCACTTGCTCTTCATTTGTTTGTTTGATATGACTCGAAAATGAATAATGTATAAATCCTTCGAGAAAACATCGTGTTTAAATCTCCTTTTTTCGAGAGTTTCGAGACTACTTTTTGTATCCATCATCAGGGTTTTGGGATCCGATATCCCATGACCATCTTTCTTAGCCTTGTAGGTAGTATAAGAAACATTCTGAAGGAATCTACTTGAGGATCCCTTAATTAGGTTTAGATGAGTTCATTATCTGTGGATTATCATTGCAGCTACTATCCAATAGTTATTACATTTACACGGCTCGATTTATAATATAATTGAAGTTACAAAACTGGTCAACATAGCTATTTCTTCGAAGAATGGAATGACTGTGATTGGCCAGTTTCATAATGTCGATGTTATAAATTATTGACGTTAGATGTCGTGTAAACACTATATTTTACAACGAAATTATTACATCGATATAATAACTCAAAATCGTTTAGTGAAAAGGCTTAGGACCGTCACATATAAAATGACATAAAAAAAATGACACAAATGATTTTTCACATTCTTTCATTCTTTCAGCTCGGAAATAAAATAAGTCTGACCGTGTAAACACGACTTACTTAAGTAGGAATTATAACATCAGCGTTATTAAGTCGAAGTTAAGAAGCCATATACATATAAATGTATTAAATGTTATAGGAACACTCCATCTAGTTATACTGGAAAAGGAACTCATTTTTGCTGCTCATGATACATTATTGGTAGTGGAATCTTGTAGTTTACATTATATAATGTAAATAAACATAAATTTTCAGTATTATATGTTAGGATAATAGTGTTTTAACCTCTTTTAATTTATTATTTTGCATAAAGAAAGTTGGTATTGTAATAAGCTTTTGTGTAAATGTTTGACGCTTGATGTTCCTGTAAGGGCATCTTCAGGTTTCTTTTTGATTTATAGTTTGATTATATACTTTTTTGCAAGAGACAATGTAATACAGCAATCACTTCATCTTTATTTAACATTAAACGACAAAGTAATGATCCACTGTGTTACACTTATGTCATCTGTATCTCTTCCCTCACGAAAAAAACTGAGCACTACACTGCTACACTATTACACTGTTAATATACACTAAATAGTAAATTTGATCACTATTGCACTGGTACACTATTGTAGTAATTTCTTTTTGTGAGAAAATATTCATTAAAAAAATTAATGTACAAATTTTATTTTATGTTTTTTAACTGAAATTACTTTATATAAGATGTTTACAGTGTATAATTTTAGCTGAGGTCTCTATAAGTCTCTTTTTTGTTTTGAACTCTTAAAAAATTCTTTAATTTTACCTAGAATTTTTAATAGAAAATCCAGGAATTCTTAGGGAATTCTTTATATTATTTCAGTAAACATTAAGTCTGTTCTCGTTAAAAATTCTCAAAAATTGTTGCATTTAAAATGAGATAAATGTATGTATGTTCGGATGTTAAAAAGAGAAAAAATGAAGATGTAAAAAGTGACGCAAGTAACGCAAATAAATCTATTCTCTTTTACATAAAAGAACTTTTGATGGAATATTTAATGGGATATAAATTTCTAGGTGGATAAATATACTGGTCAACGTACTCACGAAGAGTTGAAAGCTTATGTGTCAATGATGCTGGGTAAGAATGCAGAGAATGAGTCAAGCCGGAAGCTTGAAAATACTGACGGAATCCCGAATGCTATATTGAGTTTGACAGCTGATAGTTTCAAACAAGGTATTGAAAAGGGTCTTTCATTCGTCAAATTCTTCGCACCCTGGTGCGGACATTGCAAACGTCTGGCTCCCACGTGGGAAGAATTAGGTAAGAAGTTCTTCGGCAACGACAATGTAAACATTATCAAAGTCGATTGTACACTCGACGTAAGTAAACAATTGTGCAATGAACAGGAGGTAGATGGTTTTCCAACTTTGTACTTATATCGTAATGGACGCAAGGTTTCAGAATACAATGGCTCACGTAATCTCGACGATTTGTACGACTTCGTAATGAATCACATGAAAACACATGACGAATTGTAATTTTGTTTGTCATTAAAGCGTGTGTGTGTGTGTGTGTATGTGTGTGTGCGTATGCGTGCGTGTGTGTGTGTATCGTAATGTATCCCCAATTTCAAATAATTTAATTAATTTAAGATGCATGATGTTTCGATTTTTTATTGCCAAATGGAAATAGAAGAAGCGAGAATTTTTTTCATTTTTATATCTTATATATCGAGAGATAAAGAAATGATACGTTAGCATATAGAATGTAACATACTCAAATGTAATCCCGTGTAAAAAAATGTGCTTTCAAAGTATACCTATTTATTTGTCTTTTTTCATTTATTTAGCATTTATACATATAATTCTTTTTTGTTTATTTCTTATACTATTATATTATTTATTCCATATATTTTATAGTGGGGCTATAAAATTTTATTAAAAGATAAAATAATTAATGTTGATCTTGTTCTTCGCGTATCCAATATATTAATTTTGTCTGAAATAAGAAAGAATAAGTTGATTGATCCTATTATAGTTTTTAACATATGTTTGTATTAGTATGGCAGCATAAGATGTTTGTTATTTTAAATAGATTAGATATCTGAAGATATCTAATGACTAATTAACGGATATGCGCGCGCGCGCGTGTGTGTGTACACACACAATATACCAGAGTTAAAATCGTAAATTTCAATAGGATCCTTCAATTGTATTCTGTATGATGTAAGCTCTTGGAAATTGTAGCAATATCAAATTGACCAAATGCAATTTTTATTATTGTAATTTGATTACATTGACAAATAATTGTTTCAATGCACAGGAGTCATAAATCCTCCCAGCAAACCGCAAACGAGACAACTTAAAATGTTACACGAGTGTCAGAAATGTTACATATAATATTATTTGTAATGATAAATATAATGTATTAGTACGACTCTATGTTAACAACTTTGAATATAATATTTGTATATCTGAAATATATCAATAATATATTAATGTAATACATAAACGTCCTTTATATATATTTTATATATAAAAAAGACGTTTACATAACAATGTTGCTAACTTTAATGGACTACATTTTTTTATTTTCAGCGTTAAAGTAAATACAATAGTGATAAAAATTGATATTATGATAACATTTAATTTTGAATCGATTGTGAACAATCTGCAGGGCTATGTTCGGGGAGACAGAGCTATTTGAATCATTCCATCTATATTGTTTATTAGATGTAAAACAAGGATAGGATGACATGCTAATAGCATTTCCCTGAATGTATCCGTGACAACTGGAAGTTGAATAAATTCAATTACATATGTGTAGTACATATATGTATTTTATACGTATCAGTCGTATAACATTTGTTAAATTGCTGAAAGATTACAGTTGTATTTATGTTATATATTTTAATTTACATGTGTTAGATTACATTTTTAAATAATTGTTATGATTATGCAACGAAAAAATATAGCTTTGTTCTTTTTAAAAACCCTCAAAATTATGTGACAATTACATATCGTCTCTATGCTTTGCCAGTTTGATTCTTGAATCCATTGTCAATTGACTAAATAAATCGCATGAGAAGTATATCGGACTTCGAATGTTTCAATGCTCGTTTTTTTAGTAATATATAATCTAATATACATTTATTTGAATATGACCGCATCTGCGACGCAGATTCTGCGCAGTGTTCATACGAAAATAATGAGCAATATTTGGCTATACTTGGTTTTTCCAACATGGATACGATAACCTTGTATACTAATATTTATCTTTTCTGTATCTTTCATTATTTTCATTATTATTATAACAAGTCAGTGTTGTGAGCCTCGTGTAGAAACATGGTAAACATTTTTATTAATCGTTCATGGTCACACTGGAATGAAAATGATCCAAAGCGCATTTAACCTATTACCATATTCACAGTTTTTGTTTTTTTGAAGACAAAAAAAATTAATGTTAAATGCGTTCGAGGTCATTCTGACCCTGTGACTATTAACGGTTCAACTTTTAAAGAAGATTATGAAGGGTTGAAATAAACGGGAATAGAGCCTTCGTTCTAATTTTTATAATGAACTGCCCTTAATCGAAAATATTTATCGTATTAAATTGCGATGTATGTACAAATTTCTAGCATAAACAATGTTGATATTGAAAAATATAAACAGTTTATCGTATCCGTTAAATACGTACAGTCATCTTGCAATAAAATAATATTTATTTTTCTCACTTTTCTTTGCGTGGAACCTAACAAGGTTTACAGTAAGATACGCTGAAATTTTCGCTATCGATGATGCGATACTGATAATTTTTGTAGGTAGTGAAGTCTACTTCGCGCATTTGCAAAACGTGAGTCATAACCTTCTTGACTACTGGTAGGAAGCCTGTCACATTCGCAGCAGTTGCAAGTTGATCATAGTAAGCCCATTGTCTGTCCTTTAACTTGTTAATGTGTCTCAGCTAGGGACAAAGAAAAACGTTATAATTCAACAAGATCTCTTATCTAGAATAAAGTTCTAGATAACCAGAGAAGCACAATCATTGTTAAGAGTTCTGATTAGCTGTCATAATGGCCAATTATGAGATTGATTCTTTGGTATGTATATAGTAATAATTACACATAATAAAAATCATTTTTATTTTAGATTAGACGTAATTGTAATTCACTAAATTATTATTGTGTAATTAAAGATTCTGAATATAAAAATTCTGAATTATGTTATATCTTGATTATAACTTTACTGAAAAAACTTTATTGAAAAAAAAAAATTCATAATTTTTTTAGTCAATTATTTTTTAAGAATTTAATTTTATGGAAAATTCTTTTATGTAATTCTTTTATTAAATAGTAAACCGATTTGCTATATTCGTGTCTGTCTGATAATCTAGGATACTAACCTGATAAAAAATTCATATCATAATATTTTAATTTTCTCTTTATAAATTTATTAAAGATTTTTCTGAAAAATATCTCAAAAACTTCTTCAGATTTTATAAGTTTTCTTTGGAAATTATAAAATGAGAAATTTATAAATATTTCGTAACTCAGATATAAAGAATTCTAGAATAGACTTTTTCAATATTTCTGAAAAATGTTCCAATTTATACAAAAAAGTTGAGAAATTTTCTAAAAAGTTGTAAAAACTATATAAGATATTTAGATTATTAAGATTATTATATAAAACTATATAAGAATTATGAAAAATTTTTAAATTTATATGGAAAATTCTGAAAAATTATATAAAGAATTTTAAGAAAATTGTTTACCAAGGTCGTGATTGTTATATCAAGGTATCTTCCCTGAAAGAATCATCATTTATTGTCAATCAACGACATATATAGGGTGTCCCTTCATACAATATCAAAACTACAGCATATGAAAACAAGTTCAAAGTGTCTAATAAACATATCCGATTCCGAACAATTTCGGAATTTTTTCTCGACGGAATTATTTGTCCGATAATATTTTCGAAAAAACTATTGTTTTTACGCAATAAAAACTTATTGATGAATAAATAAAAGTGTGAATACAGTAGAACTCGGATTATTATGATAGAGGATTTTCTGATTCAATTTAGTTCGCTCTACTTACCTATAAATAGTGATGCACCTATGTAATTGAAGTTTGGAGTGTTCATGGAGAGAAAATTAAAAGTAAGTCCAAACCACACAATTGATGATCTCTTGTATACGTATAATCGAAAAAAAATTTCCTTGTTTAATAAAATTTACACTTGTTTCTTTAATTTCGATTGGAACTAAAATAGGATAATGTCCGAGATCATTGACGATAAAAAAAAAATGTGCACCTAATGTCAGACACCCCGTATATGTCATTGATATCAATCTATCATCGTCTCTCAAAATGCAAGCTTTTCCTGCAAATTTGTATAAATTAATCGTGAATCAGGTACCGGAATGCCTTTGTCCAATAGAGAGTTTTTCTCAATTTCATATTCTTCGCGCATCTGTTGTGCAGACGGTAACTTAATACGATCTTCGAGAACCCCGAGGATATATTGTGCTTGGATATGAAACAATGGAAACGGTATCACCATCGCGGGCAAGCCCATGAAAAACAGATTTGTATAGTCCATATGCACTAGATGCTTATAGACAGGTTCCACATGGTCGTCGTCCGTACGTATCTCGACTTTAGCCGACATAAAGGGATACGTGAATTTGTAACCTGAGAAGAAATTATGAAACTATTTATCATGAATCATGAAGAAAGTTTAACTGGAATTCTGATATGCATTACCAGTGCAGAATATGAAATCGTCCACTTCCACTGTTGAACTGTCGCGGAAGGTGAAGATGTTCCCCTGGATGGACTGGACACCGGGTTTTTGCTCGAGATTGCTCGATATTTTCGATTTGAGTTGTTCCGGCAAATTATGACTCAGATATACCTAAAATCACCAAGGGAACTAAAGGATTAATAAAAAAATTGCGTCGAATCGTTGATGATTAAGATCATGATGTAAATACATCATGATTAGGATTACTATGCCATTGCTACGCGGCAGTTTTTTTTAGCACTTTATGACGTACGATTTATGGTCGAAGATTATGTATCTCAACAAAGATTCGGAAAAGACCTCGCATAAACTTTATCTCGCAGGGAACTGAATTTTGGATAAAATTTTAATATATTTTATGTAAGGGCCATGGTTTATGTGAGAATACTAACCGAAAATTTAATTCAAATTTTCGTAAGATTTGTCAGAGTTCCTTTGATACTGATGATATTTATCAGGAAGGGACATTATCAGGAAGATGAAAGTATAACTTCAAATTTGTCAAAGATGATAATTAATAGTGCAGGGATTTATGTGCCAGCGTACTTTATCAGCATATTGCAAGACTTCCATGGCGATATCAATGCCAGACCAGGACGCGCCGAGTATGCAAACCTTCTTGCCGGTATAGACCTCTGGCACTCTGTACTGATGGCTGTGAACACATCTACCGCGAAAGCTTTCGATACCTGGAATATGCGGAATACGACCAACAGTGTAATGTCCGTTGCACAGCACCACAGCGTCGAAAATCTTTGTGGTTTCTGTTTTGGTCTCCAATGACTCGTATGTCACCATCCATAATGTCCGGCCGTTAATAGTTTCTGGCTCTACGCGCTTTACTAGGGTATTCAACTGAAAACAAATGTGATCCAAAATAAAAACATGACAAAAAACGAAGAAGTATCAATGATTTTAACATATACATATATTCATTCGCAAGATTGAAAGTGATACTTTATAAAAATAACGCGTTACTATTACCTTTTTTTTTTGTTCGTAAATTCGTTATTTGTTAGTAATTTTGAAAAATAATGTATTGTTATTACTGTTACTTAGAAAG